TAGAATTTGGATCCCACAGGCTTATTGTTCCTTGCTACGCACATTGTACAGAGCGATTATTGATATTGCAACAGTGTGATATTGGGTAGACCAAATCATCGATTGAGTGACTGGAAACTCTACATGGGATCATCACTTGTGTTCTATCGGAAAGGGGGGGTGGGGGGTGCACGCAGTGAAAGTCATCAATCAATGACTAGGGGTGAAACAGCTTACGAAGAGCGGGATGACTGAGTGAAATCCACAAAATCATTTACCGCCTTTAGGGCGCAGAGCATTGTGAATCTCGGGATCTTTCTCGTCTATTCAGTCTCTTCAGTCTTAGTCTCATCGCCACGTCGCTCTTCCTTCTCCCTAACTCAACAACGACCCCTAAATCTAATTACGCCCGACAATCAGCTCACCAATGGCGAATCAACACCCATCGTACGATCCTCTCGATCCGCTGATGCGCCCTTACCCAGAAGGTCACTTCTACGCCACCACATCTCAACAGACTCTCTCTACGCCAATGTCCACAACCAGCGTTGCTGCATCATCGCCAGCCACCAGTGTGTCACAAGAGGACGCCATCTCCGCGCGCTTCCTGATTGCAGTTGTTCGGAGCGACACTAGGGCCATGCAACAAGAGTTCCACCAGATGTTGTCGGTTGCACAGAGCCGAAACCAAGACTGTCTATTTCTGAAACAGTTACAGAAGCAGGAGGTTGAGGCGAATCACGGCGAGATGGATTGGATGCGCAAGCGAATCCAGGACTTGGAGGCTGAGGTAAGGCGCATAGAAGGGAGGTCAGGTGGATGAAAGATAGGCCGTGAGTGTGTGTTCAAGACAAGGTCCTTCCTGGCGAAGATGCTGTAGCCGTGTGATCCTTCTTCTACATCCCCGCGTAAACGCTCATCTTGGGCAGATTGAGTATAGACAGAAGCACCTTCAGGGTAGTCGCAAGCTCTCCTATCAACAATGAGCATGCAGATTGTAATTCTACATGTCATCGGTTATTTTGGCTCTGTACTGCCATAGTGCCAATAGGCTACATTAGAGGTTAATTGCTTTTTCCCGGGATGATCTTGCGTGATCAACCTGCTCGTTCCTTGAGTAGAAAGGGTTCCCATTGCGCCATCTTCAACTGACAGGCAGTGAAGGAAACATCGCTTGCTTTTGTATCTCTACCGATCAGAATGTCGTGCATAAAGAAGCACTGTGGCTACCCGTGTCTTTACTCGATCTGGACACGCGGCTGTGCACGCCGGCTTCAACCAGCCGAAAAGCAAAATGGGGATACCGAAGACGTGTTAGTACTCTCTACCAGCGAGTTGATACCTACGAGAACTGCCTTATTCGGACGCTTATCATCCCTACGATCACCCTTGGGATGACTTCGTGGTGTTGTGCTACTACACCGTTGGATGCATCCATCAACTTTGCCGTCGGCTTCCGACGGCAAATGTTTGAGTCAGCACAGACGACCATGAATCATCTTCCCTTCACTTTTGCCACGAGGCCCTGCTCGGTTTCAGGAACGATGAGCAACATCGCTTCTCGCATGAAGTTTAGATGTTGGTTTAAGGTACGGATGCGGCCCGTATGGCGCCCCACAGCTCAGGATAAATGCCTTGAAACGCTTGGTCAATGCTCAGGATGAAGCAAGAGACCGTTACGAAGGGTTGAGGGGCTGTCTTCGTATCGAGACTGTCGCCACAATAGACTTCCTACGCAGTGAACGTCGGTGTAGGTGATCAAAATGGCATTGCGCAGCAGACGCCATTGCCTGGATCATCCTAGGACGTAAGCACTCCTGTGTAAGCGTAAGCGGCACTGGCGTGATATTGTCTCTAACCGTCTATTATCATGCGACTATGAGCCGAGGCATGGTGGTTTGTCACCTGAAAAGGAAGGGTGAGTGCCGTACCTCCGAGAGAAGGGCCGATGGTGTGCAGAGCGACAGTCTTTCAGCTGTCAAGTTCGCAGTCTGAGGCTGCAGCGACTAATTGGACATCACTTGGACGGGGTCCATATATTGCAAGCTATGTAGTGTCACAGGCCAATCGCCTTCTCGGTGGCTCGGCATGGTGCTATTCGCGTATATGCAAAGTGTTGGCAAACCACCACCAGTACGCTGACTGGCAAATGAGGTATGGATGTTCGCGCCAATAAGGCTAGCTGCACTGTCTGCCAGATAACGCATGCGAGCCATCGCCAGGCACGAACAGGCGAGATCTGAACATGATGTTGAGGGTGGCAATTCTGCCGTCTCGCCCAAGACATGGTATCTGCTATTGAGCATCCTCGAAGCGTGAGTCAGTTGCGACAAGGCCAGCAGGCACTTGATCTTTTGTGAGATTAGCAGGCTCGAGCTTCCAGTGTCTTCCGACGACTACATTTGAGCGGATTGCTTCGACCTAGCCAGGTCGGGAGTGTTGTGCATCTCAAAGCTTCGATCCTTCGATGTCGTGCAGGCACGCGTACATGCCTAAGCGAACAACTGACGGCGAAACTCTCCACAGGGACGTGAGGAAGCTTGCAAGAGACAGGTGGGTCAAAGCTGCCGCCCGCTGCGAGCCAAACATTGCGAATGCAGCACCTGGGCTGATTGGCGCAACGTTTCTTCAACGTCGATCTTTGTGAGGTGATTAGCGTGGATGAGGTGGTGCACGCGAGGCGGGGAAGGACTCCCGTGGCAGGGATCAGCGTGAGTGTGAGTCTAGGGCTTAGCACTTTAGATGGCTCAACCGCATTGATGGACTCGCTAGCTACGAAGTCCCTATGCGAGCAGCGTACGTGTCCTATACAGACGTCCGTGATGAGCATGGCTACATGCGACAAGTGATGAGAGTCCACTAGGTGGATTTGTCCGTGATAAGACGTGCCGCTATGCAAGCAAAGAGTGAATGCAAGCAAGGCAGCGGTTCCATGGTCTGCAGATGGAGCAATCAGTCGATGGCGAGGCAACAGACTTGGATCCGGGCCTAGGCGAATGATGGGCGGCTTGGCTTGTGGTGCAACTCCTCAGGAGAATAACTTTGTACCACAGCAGGAAACACTCGTGAAACTTGGGGGAAAGCTGAGCAGGCAGATGATAGACTCATGTACTCGGGCCGTGGGTGAACCGCGGCGTCGTCCCGTAGTGGCTCTTGGTTCTTCGAGAAGTGGAGAGACTCGCCTGGCGATGTCCGGATGTGCAGAGCAGCCATTCTGGCTAGAGCTGTGAAGGACTTGCATTATCGCCCGCAGATTCGGGGAGGCATGTTCTGTTGATTGACCAAGACACGCTTTGTGGTAGGCGTATAGTCGCGGATGCATGATACCCCACATATGGAGCTATTTTGATAATGGTAGAAGGATCTTCCTTTGCGGCGTAGTAGGCTGACAGCACCGTAGGATCGCCACGCAACTACCCGATGGTCACGACGGGCAAGTCCTAATCAGGCAATGTCGGCGTACGACGCGATGGAAGATAGGATGACTGACTTGGTCGTTGTTCTTGCACACCGCTTAGTGTGTCTCGAGATATTTCCGGGTGGTCAAGCTTGTAGACAAGGTCCTTTGAAAGTGTGGTTATCGGTCAAGCTTGGAAGCAGGGACTAAATGGGCCAATCAGACGGGGGTCGGTATACCGAGACAGGCACTTCTGGCTTTGGTCGAAGAGGCGCGAGCGCGGGACGAATCCCAATCGGTCCGGTAAATGAGCGTCGCCCATGTCCCATCGGTGAAGCAAATGGGGTCAGAGTCGGGTTGCAGGGCACTAGATGGCCGTTGAATGCGTCAGGAGGGTGCAGCTGAAGCTTGCCGTCAAGCGCCACAAACACCGTTGGGTGCTAGCCGAAACAGCAAATGGCTAGGAGAGTGCGAGGCGCTAACGGCTTTGGGAGTCCGAGGAGGACTTTCTGATATGGCGGGCAAGTTGAGGAGATGTAATGAGGCCATGGACGGCTGGAGGCGGCACAGTCATGGTCAACAGGTGTGGTTAGCGATGGCAGCGATGGCTCTGGTCTGGTCTGGCCACTGCGCGCGCGTTTGGCAGCGTCGTGTTTGCAGCGTCGCAATTCCCGTTGCAGAGCCTCGTTGTCGCGGCGCGTCGGTCCCTGAGACGGGAAGCCCACAGTTGCGTTCATTCGGCTGCAGCCGCACGCGTCCAAACAAGCAAAGGGACACGCTGGTGGAGAGAGGCAGATTGGACAGTGGCACAGGCAGGCAGACGGGCAGGCAGCGTCTAAGATTGTCGGGAGAGTACGGGAGGAGTCACGTGGGGCAGGGCTCTGTAAGGTAAGCAGCTAGCCGCAGTGGGTGAACACGGCCGGACAGGTGGCTGCACAAGTGGGCTGCACAGGTGAGGTGCACACAGCAGGCCCCACGGCCGAGGACGTTGTGCGCTGCACTCGTGTTGCGTGCTCGTGCTCGTGCTCGTGCTGGAGTCACTCGTTACTCGGATCCGGAGCGTGGTGTCTGGAGTCGGCCACGACCACGGCCATGTCCTGTGCTCACCCGAGGGGGGGGGGAGGCTCGAGTCTGGCAAGATTGGCATGCCACAAGCGGATCTCCAGCCGCCTGCCCCGAGCCCCTTAGCGCCTTTGCACGCATCCGCGTCTGGCGTCCCGCCGTGCGAGGTGCATGCTGGCAGCATGGGTGGCTCTGGTCGCGACATGGGTGGCTGTGGGTGGGCGACATGGGAGGACGTGGGAAGACATGGGTTTGTCGACGGCATCAGGTCCCCGCTGCATGCCATCTCAAGTGGGCCCCAGAGCTCTCTTTCACAGTGCAGCAGCGCCTTCCCCCGCAGCCTGCGCAAACCAGTGACATGCCCTTGTTGCAAGCCCCCCAACTAGGGCCTCCAGCCGCTTCTTCCTGAGCGGAGCTGCACAAGAAGTCGCTGCAAATGCTAGACCCTTTCCACTCTTCCCGTGAGACCCTACTCCTTGTGCGACCCTGCCCTTCTTCCTCAACTCCCACTCAAGCCGCCGCTTGACCGCCAGATAATAACTTAAGACGACCGAATGCCATGATGGGGAGCGACTGGCATCCACGCAGGCACCCGCAGCCCGACCCCAACCGCTTTCCCCAGCGAACCCTCCCCAGCTTTGCTGAGCTGACCTCGTCGTCGTCCGACTCAGTCCTGCACCGCCCGCGTGACTCTGTCCCGCCGCCGCCGCCTGCTGCAAACACCGCCGACCGGCCTGTCTCACAATCCACGCCGCCCACGACGCTCGCCGCGCTCGATTTTGCCAATTCCACCCAGCAAGCCTCGTTCACCGCAATCAATCACACGAGCCCGCACGTCAGGTAAGTAGCCGTGACAGAGCCTGCCGCAAGCGTGCTGACTTGTTGGGCAGCCCCACCAACACCAGAATCCCGCCCCTTGCACCAGAACAACAGCAACATCATCATCATCATCACCAAAGGTTTTCTCTTTCATTACCCCAACCAACTGCTGGCCCGTATAGTCCCCAGGAGGTCGCTGCAACATCGCAACCACCGCCGATTGCCAGCTTGCGCCAAGACTCGGCCATCTCCCAGCACCGTTTCGACACCTCAAAAGAAGCCGAGCCCACTGTTCCTTCCTCTGTTCTTGCCTTTTCCTATTTTCACCCTGCTGTAGGGGGTAATGGTCGTCAGCCAAACGCTCCCCGGCCAATCTCACATCCTGCTGGGCCCGCTTCTCCCCGTTCCCCAGCGAGTGAATATCGCTCAAATCAACCATCTGTAGAGACAGGAACTCGCAACCAAAACGGAGCAACCTCACCATCGTCATCCTCCAACCCTCACACTTTTGCCGAATCTTCCAGGTCGCCAGAGCAAGTGCGAGACGTCAACACAGACTCCGGATCCAAGAGACCACTACCATCTCCAACGTTAGATCAAACAAACGGCAGTGGACGACATCAACGCTACAACGTAAGATTCAACACCGTCTACACCTCGGAAAACATGCCGCCAAATCAAAGACCCCGGCCAGACCCCCATCCGACAGCCCCTGTGCCAGTGGAGACTCCCGAAGAACAGCCATCGCCTGAGCACACTATCAAGCCTTCTGTGGAGCAGGCCATCTTGGCCATCACCACTGCAGCTCCTCCCCCTATGGAGGATCCGGCGCAACTTCAGCAGCAAAACACGCCCCAAGTGGAGCGATGCAAGAACTGCGGTGTTCGCTGGAAGCGGCCTTTACCCGGAGAAAACCAGTTCCGACTGAGCTCACCTGCGCAGAATATACGCGAACAGACAAGATTAACCGAGGATTACATCAAACGACTGGAAAATCACACCAAATATGCCGACGAAGCGTACGCGCATTGGGTACGCCAACACCAGATGTGCCCCGCGGCTGCAACCAGCCCGCCCGAGACAGAAGCAGCACACAAGTCACGGAGTAGAAGCATAGAAGACCCTTCACCTCCCAGCCCTCCAGCCCATCCTGTTTCCGCCAAGCGAAAGTCCGAGATACCTCATGAAGCCTCCAAGTACCGAAAAGTAGTAACATTTGACCCTCCATCCAACCCAACACCACCTGTCCGTTCCACAGCTCCGGCCTAGGTCATTAATGTCTACATTACACCGTTCACGATTACGCTTCCGCACACGAAAGTTATCATTCGATTCACGTCCGCATTTGCATTTGGGTTGGTGTTCATGACAGCAAAAGAAGATCGTCCGCTATACCCCCATCCGGTCGTCTTCACGCTCTTGCCTTGGCTGCTATTTTTGGTATTTGGTACTGTAAGGGTTTACTGCTTGAAAGAGATGGTTAAGAAAAAGGATCGGCGTTATCATTCTCAACAGTGTTACCCTCTTCACGGCGTTATGTATTCTACGCCACCATAGCTCTCTACGATGAGAAGCGTTTGTCATGTTGCTGCTCAGATCTGCCCACGTCATGATGCTGCTATGTATCACCTGATGTACGTGGTACGCCTCCACATCTACGTTTCACACCTCCTTCGTCCGCGCTCCGTCTCCGGTGCCGACAGCATGTGCCTATCACACCAGCTATCACTCGACGACGTTGCTACTATACCCAATCTGATCTCTTCTTCACAACTGCTGGACTACTGCATGAGTCGAGTTCCCACTAACGACCCTGTTACCAAAGCGCGAAACTCACAAACCTTATCCAAACATTAGGGGCCCAGCATTCCGTGCTCGGACAAGGATGCACCAAGCCCCGCACAAGCGACGAGCGTCAAAGCGGTTCGGTACGAAACCCAAAGTATCAATCAATATGGATCCGCTGAAACAGAGTTCTGGTATCCCGATCGATCTCTGGGCCACCCTTGCAACTTGGATGCAGTCTTTATTGACGCGGTTTCGACTTTCACATGTACAACAGCCGGTAAATTCAATTGCAACAACGTTCTAGCGTGTCTACATCATTCAAAGCCTCCCACTGGGCGAAGCAGCGAATCAGGCGTCCGGGGCATGTTCCAGCTCACGCTATCCGAATTACCTGCATGACTAGCCACACCCTTACATTGCTACTCGCAAAAACGGGATAGGGTGACACGGCTGACGGCTGCCGAGCGGGGCTTCCCGAGTCGCCAACGCTGTTGAACTCACTATCGCGGCTAATCATAATTCGTCGCTCAACTTCCCCATTCCGGTACAGCGGAGTCTTTCGGTGCTGTTCGAGTTTGGCCGAGTCCGCTATACTCTCGAATTTCGATTTTGAGTTGGATCATCGTGGATTTGAGATGTGGCTGAAAAGCGGCCATACTGCGCAACGGCGACGCAGGCAAAAGATTTTCTTTTTCTTTTCTTTGTATCCGTTTTCGTAAGCTGATGTTATGTGTGTATCTAGCAATGGTAGATTTTGTATTGCGCAGCAGATTACACACGATTTTCCCTGGTGCGGCGAGCATATGAAGGTCTAGACATGGAACGCATACAATTGAGCCACAGTTGATAATGACCTCATCAGCAGTGTCGACCTGGGCGGCGTCATCAGTCTCGCCAATCATGACCGTTCCGATGTGGTTCTTACAGGCTTCGGCACGCCTCTCTCACGCGACTGCCTGCTGATCTTTGATGTTAGCCTCACGAAGAAATCCATGTAAACCCAATCGGTCGCTTAAAATTCACCAAATTGAACGAAATGCACCCGCAACAATTCCGAATCACTGGGTTCAAAGACCTCGGAACGCCCTTGCAACGTTCTTGTATAAATAGTCAGCGTCGATCGCTCGGAGCACGCAGCGCCTTCGGGAAACGCTGGGTGTCGATTGCAGATCTAGGCTCTAGCGCGGGCAAAACTCTCTCGGGGCGTGCTAACGGCTTACGTCGCTGGCTGGGGGCGCGAGGCTACGGGAACGCTCGTCGAGTCACAACGCCTGGACGGTCGTTTGAGAATGTGGGTATACAATCGGTCCGCAACGTGATTGCAAACTTGCTGTACCCGGACCTAAAACCTGGCTCACATGCCGAAAACAATGCTCAAGTGCCGCTTAATATGCTTCGGCAGTATGCGGCATCGACATAGCTGCATGATATACGTCATAGTACGTTCAGTGTGCTAGGGAGCTGAGGAGTTTGGGCCCCAAGACCTTTTTGCTCAGGCTGTGTAGAGCTACCCGCCCACGACGCAAAACGCACGATGAAGCCACGTAGCCGTCGGACCTGACCCAGAATTAAGGCCCCATTTGTTAGCAGGTTTTCTGTACAACGCAATCTTCCATGCATGAACTTGGATGCTCTAGACAAACCATTGTACCCACGCGTCAATTCCTTCCTGATACAGCGGCAGTGTGCAAGTGCCATTCATATCCTTTTCCGCTTCCCCCGCTTGGCGATACATCATCGGCCACGGGAATGCACAGACAGCAATCGCAACCGTCCTCCGTCGGTTCCAGCGAAACACTAGCCGCAAGAGCGTAGCCTTGGGGTGGAGTCGCCCCAGCTGGCGCCGCAGGTTAATACAACACAGGCCGCCGTTCGAGTCGCGGGCTCTCCCTGAAGCTCGACCCATCCATTGTTTGATTGGCGCATCAACCACCGAGGGCCGGCACCAAACACACCAGTTCCTTCGCTTCGCGCGCGACACACCATTATTGCTGACTCGTCATCCGTTATGGAATCACTGGGGTGTCTTGTGCGCATCTTACCTCACGTAAGAAAACTGCCGTTGGGCGTGCCGGCGGAATTTCCCCGTTGCCTCCTGGTATGCGTGCGGCCTGACTCGTCGCGTAGTAAATCCGTCCCCTCATAGTTAGCAGCGGACTGAATAGACGGACCTGAAAGGAACCCCTGCCGTGATCACAAGACAAGCCGCGTCTGCAAGACGATGGTTCTCATCACAACCGTGGCAATGACAGCTGTCAAAAGACAGGGCCCTTTATGCAGCCAGGTCGTAAGAGGCAAGAGACGGGCTGCGGTTGCATTGGGCCGACCGACGGTTTTTCTTGCAAGTGGAGCTTCGCGCGGAAGGATCCTCCCTCACGACGTATTGTCTATACCTGAGGTTCGATATAACCTTCTACGGTTTGCACCACACTTCGCCTACAAGCGCGATGCATCGCTTGCAACTCATAATGGCAAATGCCACCGCAATCAACTGCAGCAGGGGTGGACAAAATATCTTATGAACTGGGATATGTAGCGAATCGGAAGTCCCGGCAGTAAAACATTTCGTTGGAGTTGGCATACTGTACACTGGCAGCATCTTCGGCAGTTGGACCTGGAAATTCGCGAGTAACGCTATCAAGAACGTTGCGGTTAGCATACCGACGACAATATTGCTGCACTAAATTGCATTCAGTATTAGACGCAGCTGATAGGCTACTTTGTACTATGGTCCAGGAACGCACCAGATACAGCAGTCAGGCTGGAGATAAAACTTGGCTTCGGCCACCATACCGCTTCAATACACATCCATCCCGTGCATACCGGCTCTGAAACCTCATCTTCAGCCGCTATCGCCGCAACTGTGCCACATAGGAGTTGCGCGGGCGGACGACCGCGCAGTCACCAAGGGCATAGCAATCAAATTGCGGTAGAACAATCCAGCCAAGATTCCAATACTGATATAGAAGCCTTGCACGCGATTACATGTGGCAACGCTCACGACATGACGCAAGGGGCCTGCTTCATGGGGTACATGCTGCGATGTTAAATTTACCGACGGTGTGCAGATGGTATGCTGTAGCGTGCGCCGAATCTGCGGTTGCAACGCCCTCCTCCGATCGGAGAGCAAACTTGGTAAGGGCTTCCAATGTTGTGACTGGCTGGACTCCAACGCCGACGTATATGCAGGTTTTCCAAGGTTGTATCACGCTGCAAGAGCGATGATGCCCCTGCGTTCCCTTTTGTGGTGTCGACACCCTGCGTGTTCACACCGTCTTCCTTGCATGGACCTCTTGCTTCACTCCGAGAGGTGCGGGTCAGGATCCCACAGTCATAAGTACACAGAAAAGGGCAAGTTTCGTATCGTGTTCGGGGACCAAGAAAGTTTGGAGATCGATCATGGAGATCTCGTCCGAGTGCGCAATCCCCCTCTTTTTACCCACGCTAAATGCCCCGGCCCGCATGAACAACCAGCAAACGACTACGATAACTACCCACAATCCACGCGTCGTCGTCGCGATCTAGATCAAAGGACGCCTTATCCTGAAATGTCAGATCTGCCCGTGAACATACGATGCGGAAACTCACATGCATGAGTTCCTTGTCTACACTCACACCCCTGATATTTTCTTTTTCTTCCCGCCAGCCACTTTCCAAGCTTAGCACAAGATATCATTGTCATCGGAAAAAGCATATGCAAGAAGTCTGTTCTCGTGCCATCGGACTTTATGCCGAGCATTGAGCCTTCTAGGTGACATAAACATTTCCATTGGCTAGGGACAGGGATGTGTGTCCGCAGACCGAGACATCTGATGCGTGACAGATTTCGCTTATCGTACTCCGATCTATTGTTGCATTTTGTGGATAGATACTGTATGCTTTCTTAGGAATTTTGTCCGTATGTGTGGGTGTAGTTATGGGTGTGTGGTATATAGGGTGCGACAAGAGAGGCAGGAGTAGCTATCAAGTACAAGGCTGTTTTTGCGTTGCCGGGTATCGTTTGGGCTCTGTTTTCAATTGCCGGTAGCCTTTCTCCTTTCACACCAATCCGATTGTCTCCTGTTTCGTCCACTGTCGAGTTGAGTTGTGTCTAGAGTAGAAGCGAAAGTCCATTACAAATTGGGGAAATAGGTGCGAATCCATCACAAGGTGCCGGTTTAGTAACGCCGAGCGGGTAAATGTAACAGGTGAGCAGAATTGTCGACAGCCACTACCACATCTGAATTACCTTCATGGCCGCATCCGTGTCCAACCTCTCGAAGGATTGGACAGAATTAGAGATAACAACCTTGGATGTAAGCCGGTGGCGTGGAACTGGAAATGATTCCCGGTTAATTCGCAAGGATGGAAAACGTCACGAATGGCGTCAAGATGGAAGACCCGTGCACATGTACTTGGAAAATTAGTAGACGGTTGGAAGCGAGAGAAAGTGGTGCATCTTAGTACGATTCGTACGAATGGAATGAAGGGGTGATGGGGGGCGTGGTCGTGGCGTAGCGGCTAACCCGTTAGACGCCTTACTGTGGAAGTGCATTAGCATGAACGAAAGTCGATATGTAAAGGATGCACATTATTATTGTTTTATTTCATTTTTTGCGTTCCCAAAACCTTGGATTGCGGGGCGTTTGTGTAATACCGACAGTTTCTTTTCGCCCAAGACTTTTACTCGTGGTCATCACGTCGCTGTCGGAAATGGTCTGTCAAAAACGGTGACACGGGACTATGTGAGGGCGTCGAAACATGTAAATTGCCATCCTCCTATCAAAAATCAGTCCAAACATGCATATTGTCTTGTTCTGGCAGCTTGCTGCTCATGCCCATGGTCCCACCGTTATCTTTGGCCTTCTAGGACACCTCTGAATCTCCATCCTAAAGATATCTTCAGTCATAAGTGGTGTTAGTGCAATAGGACGAGCTTGATGAGCAGGAGACAGCGGAGATAAAAACACAAACACACATAGCAGGGTCTATTGATATCTTCGACCACGATCATCGGTTTCCCCTCTCCCCAATAGGTTTACAGCTTGTTGCCCATGTTAATATGTACTGCCTTCACCTGTGAGTAAGCCTCCAGTCCTGCCTCCCCGAGCTCTCTTCCTATACCGCTTTGTTTCACGCCGCCAAAAGGTATCCTGTAGTCGCAATCTTGACTGCTGTTTACCCATACCATGCCCGATTCAATCTCCGCAGCTACCCTGTGAGCCCTTTCGAGATCCTTTGTGAAGATAGCACTACCAAGACCGAAAATTGAGTCGTTAGCCATGTTAACCGCCTCCTCTTCTCTTGAGAAAGTGGCAATCACTACGAAGGGGCCGAAGATTTCCTCTCTGTAGATACGCATGTTGGGCGAGACCTTTGTAAATACTGTCGGCTTGACATAGTAGCCGTTGCCTTCGCAAGCCTCTCCGCCTTCTATCAACTCTGCCCCTTCAGATTTACCGATGCCGACATACGATAGCACTCGCTCATATTGCTGCTTCGTGACTTGAGGGCCCTGGAAAGTGTTTTCGCTCCATTGATTACCGATGATGGAAACATTTTTAATCTGCTGACGGAACTGAGAGACGAATTTATCAAACACTGATTCCTGGACAAGTATTCGAGACGTGGCTGTGCATATCTGCCCTTGGTTCGACATGATACCCACGTGCGACCATCGTACCGCCTGGTCCATATCGGCATCTTCAAAGACGATCAACGGGGACTTGCCTCCAGTCTCTAGAGTAATGTTCTTCAGCCCTACTGCGGCCATCTTCATGATTTGGGTAGCTGTAGTCGTAGAGCCTGTAAAAGCGACTTTATCGACGAGAGGATGTTGTACCAACGCCGCACCTGCTTCCCGTCCAAGCCCATTCAAAATATTTACGACGCCAGGTGGGAACCCAGCCTGCTTAATAAGTTTGGCCAGAATGAGAATTGACAATGGTGTCTGCTCAGCTGCTTTTAATACAACCGTATTACCGCATGCTAGCGCAGGTCCAAGTTTCCAGCAAGCCATGGATAAAGGGTAGTTCCAAGGGATGATCTGGGCGACGACACCGATGGGCTGGCGTAGGGTATATGCAAGCTTTTGGGAGGTCGTACTGATGGTCTGTCCGGAAATCTTGTCTGCCCAACCAGCATAGTAGCGAATGGTAGAAAACGCTTCAGGGAGGTCTTCGGTAAGGGCTACGTTATAAGGCTTGCCTAACGACTCTTAGTGTTTTCAACTCATGTCTTCGGTGAGGCTCACCATTATCCCAAGCATCAATAGTGGCAAGAAGCGTTTTGTTCTCTTCCATCAAGTCTGCAAGCTTTGCCATGAGTCGCCCACGTTGAGTAACGCAAAGTTGCTTCCATTCCGGATTCTTCAGTGCTTTTTTCGCTGCTTGGACTGCACGATCAACGTCTTGCTCTGACGCAGCCTGTACTACAGCAATCTGCTTTTCTGTGGCGGGGTCGATTGATGCTATTGTGTTTGCTGGGGATGATGAATCCACGAATTCGTTGTCGATAAAGAGGCCCGTCGGCTGCTCCCACTCTTGACCATTCGGTGCTTTTAGCTTGATGGCTTGAGGCATGGTTACTGATTTCGATTTTATATCTAGTCTTCGCAGTCTTGCTTGGTTTACTGGGTGTCTTAAGTAGTGATGTTGGCTCTGTACAAAGTGCGGGTATGGTCATATATCGCATGGTGGGGTTGGTCGAACCCACACTAGGTTATCACAAAAGGTTAGTGGCTTTGACGACTGGGGCTAGGAGTCTCCTGCCGCATCTAGTAATCTTCTCCCTCCGTTTCCGCTCGCAGGTTCCACGAGAGGGACAATGTAGAGGCCTTTTCTCACTATAGGACTGGTGACAGAACCCGGTTTTCGATTGCATCGTGCGGGTCCGCAATAGCCTTCGAAGCGCGAATACAATATCTAGGACCAACGTGACGATTTTGAGCAAAAAGTGGATTGACATAGTATAATATAGCCTTTGCTATGTTATCTTTTTTCAAAGTGCTCGTGATAAAGAGGGATGATATAGTACCGTCCAATGCCGTCGCCCGGGGCGCGCTCGGCAGGTGTCAGGCGCTAGGCGTCAACCTCATTACCAACACTTGGTCATACCCTAACATCCGTCACCAATATAGCATAACTCCTCGTCAGGCCACCATACCCCAATCATGGCACTATGTAACTTGACTACCCACTTTATACGCTTACAGATGGCCCTCCGTACTTGTTTCATTTTTGCCCTCCGTTTCGCGGCCGTCTACCTATGTGGGTCGACTTCAACGCTGGAAAGATCGAGCACTCAGATACAGCAAGTCGTATATGACCTTTGTTTGTGATTTCACTGTTTAATCGAAGGTGTTCAGAATGTAAAAGGACAGGAGGTGCAGGATCATAGGTAGGCCTTGCATCGTACCCAAGAAGAACTACTATAGCATAGTGCAGTAAATGATACACGAGATGCTACCAATAAAGAACCCACCCAATGATGAAAACGAACCCAGAGTAAAGAGGTATGGAAAAATTCTAAGACTGACAAATACAAACACACACACAAACACACACACAAACACACACACAAAAGATACCCATCGTAGACTTGTGCGCCCGCTCACTGCAAATACACAAAATACGAGAGAGCCTAGCTACTCATAGCTACAAACTCCTTCCAACTCACGCACTTAGAGCATATCCAAATGTCCGCCTCATTTGTCGTACACTAGTAGGGTCAGTTCTGACTCTGACGCATTCAGACTAATATCGCCCTTCTTCAACATCAGTTTGGTGAGTTATCCGTCTCAAAGGTAGATATAAGAAGATATTGAAATCTACAAGAAGTTAAATAGTCTCTCATTCAACACCCATGGATGCGATATGACTGACTCCGTCACAGATAACGCGATCATCTGCATCGTAACGTAAAGATTGACTTGTGTGGCTTGTTCGCGTCAGTTTACTTCTCTTACGGTACGGTACCCGAGGAGATGGCAGATGCGACGGCTTCATGGATCTGACTTGAGTCATACAATGACATTCATTGTTCCCGTACTAAAGTCGCAACACAGCTCTCCAGCAGTCCCATCAATCGCATCTGTATGTTCCGCCCCGCGGGTGTATCCGCATGTTTACCAGCACCCCAACCGAACGGTAGCACCAGCCTTCTTCTACTCTGCTTGTCCAGCACGACCAGTGCATCTAATGGGAATTTACCTCCACCGAGAGGATGAAGAAGGCCTAGGCGGACGAAGTGGTTGTTCGAAGGGGTTGCAGCTTGTATGACGGGGAGTGAAAAGGGCGCGGAAGAGGATAGTCTGTGTGTCGAGGGGTCGTGGCAGAGTACGAGGGCCTGGAGCGAGGGAGAGAGAGTGTAGAGGTCAGGGAGTGCGGAGCTGTTGCAAGTCAGTAAAAATAGTGCGGATGGAATGAATCAGATTTACCATAGCAGCTCGTAGTGTATTTGAACGTTTCCTTGGACGCACAAAACTATTATTGATTCCTGCTTTGAGTATCTTGCCCAGTTGTTATGCGCTTCTAGCTCGCTACTTGGTAGAGTCGCGAGCGTGTTGCTAGCAAGTATTGCGTCGACATCCACACTCCAAGCCTCTTCCGGACTGATCATGTCTAGTTCTTCCAGTTCACATTGTGTCTTGGACCTTTTCAGGGCATCGCCCAATGCTGGCAGAGTGGGCGACGGCTCTCTGCGGTGCTGCACCTCGTCCTCGTCCTCGTCAATGGTCAGGCGCGAACGTTTGCGGCTGAGTGCCACGCTCATGGTCCAGCTGTTGTGCGTAAGTAGATGGCCCATCTACGGCATCACATGATACGTGCGTTGTGGATGAAGGAGGCACGACCAGCGCACATGTTCCTACAGCAGTTTGACGAGTTTGCGGTTGTCGCAGAGACGCACGAGCAAAACGTCGGTGGTTCCTGCACGCCAGGCCAAAGCTCCCTGCATACCCCGCCGTGCCTTGCCTTGCCTGCCTACCCCACTAGCGATCAGCTGCGCCTAGGCTACCAGAACGGCGGCTGGCGACCTGCGTCTTGGATGCTTCGCTTCCATGGCCTCAAGAGACGTCACGAGTAGGCTGCGGCAGAGCACTTGGAATGGGAGTATTCCGCTCGAGATACGGTTGCACAAGGGCGACTGTAGAACGTACGATGAGTCGGACCCTTACTTAGTACGCGCAAACTCAATACTCGCATGGTCATGGTACAGCCTGATCAAGTAGGAGCTGACCAGAGGTAGATACAATTCCCACGAATATCCTATCTTGGCTTACTCATACACAAACTACATGCCTTCTTCTCGCGCAGCCTCATCTACCCGGACGTCTCGCCCAAAGACGCATGGCTATCCTACGAAGACGTGCCGCTCAAATGGCATTACCCCTTGGGTCTCCTCTATGACCTCTACTCGGGCGCCGAGCCAGCGTATCCTTCAGACACAGATACAGAAGCCGTGCAAGCTCACAAGGTTGAGAATACAGAGGAAGACGGCCAACATTTACCCTGGCGTCTCACACTGCATTTCTCTGGCTTCCCTTCCGAGCAACTTGTTCAACTCGATAATGACGATAGGCACATGCATGATCTTTTCATTCATAGCGTGAAGGAGGCGGATTACCTGAGGACAGGAACGGGGAAAACAGTCATGTTCTTGAGCAAAGAGGACAGCACACAGCTCTGGAACGGAGTGAAGAAGCACGACTTTGCGCTGTACAATCCCATCAACCAGAAGTTGCTGAATCCGCAAGGGGTCAATCTGAGACATCTGCCGGTCAGGCTGTATCTCCCGCATGCGTCGTCAGAAGGGGTGCAAGAGGAAACGGCGCCAGGGAGTTTGAGAATTGTGCAGAGGCTGGTCACGCCGAACCTGTCGTCTAGTGAGTGTAATTGCGGTGTAGGTCTGGATGCAGCTGACAACAAACAGGGCAACCACAGACCATCGGGACCGCCTTGAACCAGATATTGCCGACCCTATTTCCGAGCAGACGAAGTCCGCTACTGGCACAGGCAGTGCTGCACGGTGCCGTCTTGCCGCTGAGCGCGAGTGTGGAGGAGTTGGTTCGGGCGACAGCATATCTTGATGGCTGGCTGCACATAGCTGTTGTTATGATGGCGTGAATAAGTATTTTATGCCCAGACAAGTCGGTCACATGGCGACCGAGTCATGAGCAACACTATACGACCATGGTTGATAACAACGATATTGGCTGTATGGGCAACGTCATTACAGTGGACACGGAAACACGCCCCAGATGCTAGCCCCCAGCTCTCTCGCGACACTTGCTACGGCTGGTGATGTGTGCGTGACATGGTGATGCTCCTCAGCGTTTCAAAGCGCCTCCTGTGTGCCATGCTTCGCCAAGATGCGGGGGCACAGGCACAACAGAAGCTTAGTGATGATCCCGGCAGCTCGTACCAAGGCCACCCCACGCGTCTCCGTTGTGCGCAGGCGCTATCGGCGTAGCGCGTCGCCCTGTTGACGGCAGAGGGAGTGTCTGGAAATGAGGCATTATTGACATGCGTTGTTTTTGTCTCCGGTGCGCTAGGCGTGCTTTTGCCTGCCAGCCCACGGTTCGACTTGTGTCAAACGGCCAAGGCGCTCGGTCGGAGCGTGGGCTCGCTGCGTCTCCATCAGTCACTGCAGATAAGCAATAGGCGATGACATCGTTGCTGCTTCTGCGGCACAAGAACGGTTAATAGGTGGCAGGGGTCAAGGTCGAGTGGAGCCGACGAGTAGCGTCAGCGGCGGCTTGCAGCAACCAGACGCAACTGTGGAGGCGCGAGAGGAGAGTCCATGGGGAGTCGCTGGCGTCGAGAGCACCACGAGAAGGACCGGTGAAGCTGCGCAGAGGCTTTCTTATCGTCCCAACAAGGGAAACAAGTTGCAAAATAGCGAGCCAACACGTGCAAACACTCGACCGCTGCCGAATATGAGGCTGGCGATCATCGGCTCATCTACGACGAAATGATGGCATGTCGCGCCATTGGCTGCATTGAGTAGCTCCCTCCTAGCTCCCTCAACCCTCGCGTTGCTAGGTCCCAGCCATTCATCTACTCTTCACGCTGCTCTTCGCCCCGAATCTCCAGCATCCCCAAAAGCCCACCACCAACTGCCCACCGCAACGCGCATTCGCGATTCACTGTAAGTTCACTAATTCCATGACCGCTCCCATCCCCGGCCGAAGCGCGCGCACCTACCCTTGCAAGCTTGGAGGCTCCCGGCCAACCCGCTAGGACCCGGGGCCAAACAAAATGCCTCATCAACTGCAGAAATTTTCGGCGAGCCGGCGCATTTAAAAGCGGACTATCAGCCTCTTGTTATTAAGGCTTTTGATTTCACTCTTTGATGCTGCACCGCTGTCGACCTGCGCCATTCAATTAACATCGCCGAGTCCCTCTGCCGTCGCGACCGTTCCGTGGGTTTGATCCGATCGCGCTGACAAGCTTCCGTCACCATCAACAGCTGCCAATCAAAGCTTCAACCAGCTCGACAATTCAAAAGAGGTCCGATTCAATTCGTAAATGTAAGCTTAATGCCGCTTTCTTCTGGAGCTGTCCACAAGCATGCGCGCCGCGTTATCGCATCTACGCCATCGGGACGAGTCTCGCGACAAGCCTTGGCCGAAGATCCTTTTGCTCGATAGCTCTCTTGGACTGAATCGCGTTCGCCCAATGCCTCTGGCCTGTGCTTCTCCAGCTCCAGGAATCTCTCCAGCTACCTAATCGAATATCTTCTCTAACATCTTCATCCCAGAAACCCACAAACACAATGGCCGCCATTTCTATGCCCATCGCCGCTCGCGCCGAGTACGCTCTCCATCAGCTGGCCAAGCGTGACAAGAACTGGGCTCAGCGTGAGCCCGGTGTCATCGTCGTCTTTGTCATTGTTTTCCTCGTCGCCGTCCTGGTTATTGCCATGTTCATCAACAAGAAGGTACATCACAGCTTCACCAGCCACCTAACTTTACACTTCTCTAACATCCATCACAGAGGCAAGCCGCCAAAGGCATCGCATAAGATACCCCATTGATTCGAGTTGGAGCGCAGCCGAACAGTACGATATGAAGGAGGACAAGACATGACCCCCGATACGAAGTCATAAAGCTGTATGTTGGACGGGCACGAGCTTGTGTATAATGTGTTTCAATATTTGCGTATAGGATAACGCGGGCTTTCCTTGATGGGACTGCACTGTGGTGCGAACGCCTATATTCTTAGGCTTCGTAGTAATAATGAACAAGTCAAATACCCATTGAGCAGTTGTCGCATCGAACATTTGAGGTCCACATGAGATTGCTGAAGCGTAAATGATGGCTTCTGAAAGCTGCATAATCGTAATATGCAGCTCCCTAACCGACTCACCTGACATTGATCAGTTTGACCCAATTTCTTCGTCGCTCTGGACTTCGTTCTATCTGTGGGTGTCGCCTTTGCTGCCATCCAGGACCGTCGTAAACAAATACGTTCTCACCGCCGTCGTTCCTTTTCTAGCTTGGCTCGCTAAATCGCCTGCAAACGCAAGTTCAGACTTGCTGCACGCTCTATGGCAGAACAGGCTAGCACAAACCGGTCCCAATCGCTTCCTTGCGAGACTTTGCAACTTTCTTCTTTCCATTTGTCTTCGCTTGACACAACTCATCCTCATATGCCGATCCAAGACCAAGATCACTTGCGGAGTTAGCAGATAGGTGTCAGTTCATTAAATGTGAGAGTGATACCATGTAGCGATATGGATAGCGATCCCAGAGACTGTAGTGTGCTTAACCCGTCTGCTATGTTTGATGATACCTTGAGATCGAATCCTTCACATCATAGTGTGACGTTCTGGTTCGAGGAACCCCAGCAGTGGTTGAGAGCCTGATAGGGCATATGATCTTCAGCGAAACTATTGTCATGTCACATTTTATGCACCTGATAGGCCTTTGTCGTTGCGAGTTTTGGTATCGTAGAGCGCAGACGCGAATACCCCGCAACCCCATGGAGCAACTGCGTGTTTGTGCATGGGCAGGCACCAATCCACAACCGTAGGCTGCTCTAGCCATAGGCAGCAACGAAAGCAACCTTGAACGCCTCGAAACCACGGCGCAGATATGTATAGTAGTTAGTCATACTCTTACTACGAGAACCACAAAGTTCTCATCTCAAAACAATCCAGACTTCCTCTATTCTGTTACAACCCATCTTTCAACAACACACGTCGGCAAACATGCCGGTCACAATCACAGTCACGGATCATAAATCCGAAAGCTACCACAACAGAAACGCCAAAATCGCCTCGAATGATGCACTGCTTAGAGGCACTAGTCCATCAGATTCCAAAAACTGCAAATGGATAATTCAGAGCTCCGTCTCCGAGGACGAGTTCAATAAATCTCACATCAACGAGTCGAACAACGGGTTCGTCCACGCAGCATTCACAGCATATAGCTGGCACCATCACCTTGTTATCCGCCCCGAAGATGTCTGGTTCGCCATACTATCGCAGCTGAATGTTTACATCAACGCCAACGCCGAAGCACTGCGCGACCACTTCGTCTCGCACCAAGGGCAAAAAGAGCTCAGAGTCAAAGAGGTTGGTAATATCCATACTGTAGATTTTGGCATGCTCGCACGACGCATGACAGCGTTGATTCAAGAGAACGTCAAGGACCCTGATCTACGAGACTGGATCATGCCAGCGTTCAGCACAACTACGGTTACCGATCGTACGACAGCTGCAGTGCTCATGATGGGCAGCATGAAGGCGTATTTCAAGTATACATGCTGTCTTATGTGCGGAATTCCTACGGTCACTCTGTTAGGCGAACGCGCAGACTACGAAGATATTCTTAAGAGACTCGAAAAATTGCCAGAATTAGGCCCTGAAGCAAGTACATTTGCCGACCTCCTCCGCCCTGTTCTGCGCAACTTCATCGCAACTTTCGATCCAGAGCAGTTTGCTGTCTCACACGATTTCTGGTCCAAGATCGCGCATCATCTTGGTGGAGGTAGTGGGCCGTCATACCTGGGAGGGTGGTTGACAGCATTCTGCTTCTGGAACGACAAAGGAGAGTGTATGTACGATCAGCAGACAGGATCCCATAATTTATGGGAAATCGACTCGGATAGGTTAGAATTGGATGGCATATCTTACCATCACGTTGATATCTCTGATATCCCCAATGGCTTTGCTTCCGTGCCAGTCTTGGTAGACGATAATGGCGAAGAGTACAAGACAAAGATGATTGCCGGATCGCTGGGTATCAAGGTCACAAGAAGAGACAATTCACAGGCTGGAACAGAAGAGAAGCTGGATTCACTCCAGTCACTGAGTGGGTGGATGATGTATGAGATCAAGGAGTAAAGCGATAGGGGTTCGCTTTGTTGAGCAGTAGCTTTGACGACGAGAGCGTGCAGCTTTGGGATATAAGCGGAAAAAGACACCGTGTCAGTCAAGTGAGTATTGCAGACTAGTCTTCTCAGTCTATGTTTAGATTGGAACAGGGAACAATGATATAATTGCTTAAATTTGTTTGCATTTACATCTCAAAAAAGTACGAATGTGGCTCGAAGAAAATCAACTTCTGCGCAAAATCGCAGATACATACAGTGAACATAATCCAGTGACTCTCCTCCTGCCGCGATAATCAAGACTACTCTAAGTGAAGGCCATGCTCTTCTTGATCTCCGCAATGGCTAGCGCAGGGTTCAGTCCCTTGGGGCACGTCCTTGAGCAATTGAGAATGGTGTGGCATCGGTATAGACTCATGCTGTTGTTAAGAGCATCCTGGCGCTCAGCCTTTTTCTCGTCTCGTGAATCGGCGATCCATCGGTAGGATTGGAGAAGAACGGCAGGGCCAAGGTACTCCTCCTGGTTCCACCAGTACGATGGGCATGATGTTGAGCAGCAAGCGCAGAGAATGCATTCGTAGAGTCCGTCGAGCTTCTTGCGATCTTCCTTGGACTGGCGGAACTCACGACCCTGGAGCACTGTTAGCATTCATGTTTGGAATGATCTCGTTGTATGCACGTACATCTGGTGCAGCAGTGGTGCGCTGCAGGTATGGCTTGACCGATCGGTATTGCTTGTAGAAGAGAGTCATGTCCGGTACGAGGTCCTTGACAACGTACATGTGGGG